CGCATAGATATCGTTGCAGGCTGGATACTTTAACGAGACCGTTTCACTGACTGGTCAGGAAGGCGTTAGTCTGTTCATCGGAGACATGCTGCGGTGCCGTAGGATATGGCCTTTGGTGCATGCTCCGGTTTTTAGAAGCTATTGGTGCAGAGTGAAGGAACCACCATGTGATGAATTTATTTTAAATATTCAATATTCAATTCAATAAAGTTTGTATTATGACTTCCAAAAAAGACAGTTTTCTTTTCCAGAGAAATGTTCGTGGCTCTTTGTATTGCTTTTCGTAAAATTTTATCATATTTTTGTGAGTATACGGATGATTCGTAATATTTTCATTCCTTCTATTTATTCACACGAATATATCCGTCCTTAGTTTAAAAAACATTCGTACCGAGTATGGCAACGCTTCGTAAAATACACGAATGTTAGGAAGTGAATGATTTTGGAAATTTAAACGAAACAAGTTTCTTAGCATGTACGAAAACATTTCGTTGCAGAAAACAACGAAATAATTCGTGAAACAAACAAACGCTTTCGTTGTATAAACTAAATTTTATTTTCAGTGCAGCAACAGGTGCTGATTAATATTTTAACAAAATCAACCCATAACCTGGTTCTAAATACTGAGCGTCCACCGGAAGGCCTTCCGATGACCTGGATCAACCTTAATCTGGATTATTATGTATTTTTGATCAAAGTAGGCCTTGATTATTCTCTGCAACTATATGAAATGTAGTAAATTAATGATTTTAGATATATAAGCGTTTCAATGGCTCCAAGTGGTCATCAGATGATCCGCCGGAAGATCCGAAACATCCGTAAAATTTAGTGCTACATAAATTCGATCAAAGTAAGCCTTGATTTTTCTCTGCAACAATGAGAAATGTTGTAAAATGGTGATTTTTCATATGTTAGCTGTTCAATGGCTCCGAGTTATCACCAGATGGTCCGCTGGTAGATACGGAACATCCATAAAATTGATTGCTGTACACAGCAGTAGTTGATCAAAGTAGGCCTTGATTTTCCTCCGCAATTATATGGAATACAGTAAAATGGTGATTTCTGAAATATTAGCTGGTCATTGGCTCCAAATGGTCACCAGATGACCCACCGAAAGATCTGGAACATCCGTAAAATTGGTTGTTAAGTAAATTTCATCAGAGTATGCCTTGATTTTTCATTGCAACTGTATATAATGTAATAAAATTATGATTTTTTATATATTAGCTGTTCACTGGTTCCAAGTGGCTCGCCGAAAGATCCGGAACATCCGTAAAATGTATTGTTGCGTAAATTTGATTAAAGTAGGCCTTGATTTTGCTCTGAAACTACGTGAAATGTAGTAAAATGGTGATTTTTGTTATATTAGCGGTTCAATTGTTCCGAGTGGTCACGACATAACCCGCTGGAAGATCCGGAAAATCTGATAAATTTATTGCTGTGTAAATTTGATCAAAGTAGGTCTTGATTTTACTCTGCAACTATGTGGAGTGTAGTTAAATGGTGATTTTAGATACATTAGCTGTTCAATGGCTCTGAGTAGTCACCAGATGGTCCGTGAGAAGATCCGGAACATCCGTAAAATTGATTTATGTGTAAATTTTATCAAAGCAGGCCTTGCTTGTTCCCTGCAACTAAATGGAATGTAGTAAAATAGTGATATTTTATATATTCGCTGGTCATTGGCTTCGAGTTATCACCAGGTGGTCCAGAAAATACGGAAAATCCGTAAAATTTATCGCTGCGTAAATTTGATCAATGCAGGCCTTGATTTTGCTCTGCAACTATGTGAAATGAAGTAAAATGATAATTATAGATACACTAGCTGTTCAATGGCTCTGAGTAGTCACCAGATGGTCCATCATAAGATCTGGAACATTCGTAAAATTGATTTCTGTGTAAATTTGAACGAAGTAGGCCTTGATTTTTCTCTGCAACTATATGGAATGTGGTAAAATGGTGATTTTTTATTAGCTGTTCATTGTAACATCAGTAAAATTAATTGCTTCGTACGAGGACAGCTCCGGCGTAGTCGTTAGCAAGTGTGTAGGTGTGCAAGTCACACAAACATCGCATGTATTTAAATCGATTGGCTAACAGGTTGACACACATTTTCATCGTCAAATAAAATATTTCAGGATAATAAAAAAAAATCAGTATCTCTGAGCCACACATCCAACGAAGCCTTAAGTTATCCCCTTTCATTTCAGGGTAGTGTTCAAATGTAATTTCGGGGGAACATTTTGACACTACCCTTAAACTAAATGGGATAATCTAAGATTTTGTTTGGTTAGTGTTTCAGTGATACCGTAAGTGGAGGTGACATTGGGCCAAAAAATCAAAAAAATTCGTTCCCTACCTAACAACGTTCACATTTTAGCAAGGAAAACTATGTTAAGCATGTGAATCATCATCAATGATATATTTACGACTGTCATGGAAATGGTTGATTGAAATTTAAAGCTCATTTTACTAAAATTTATTAAAAAATAGACCAATGTAAATCATTATGGCGGCTGACATTGGGCCAACACATAAATTTAATTAAAATATCTTAACATATCTTAAAATATATAAATTTATCGTAGCTATTAGGAGTACACTTGTTATGATCACAACGTACTTTGTATGTATGGTTAAAGATCGCTTGTAGCCTTCGTCTATTTTCATAAAAGAGTGTGCAAACATTTAAAAAAATCTACTACTATTTATGACATTTTACTTTACAGCACAAATTAAATAAAACAACTAGTTAATGTTATCTACACTTTACCTCAGAAGCTCAAGAAACATATACTAGACATCATTTTCTGTATATTCAAGATATTTGCATCAATAAACATTTTTAAATTTTGGCCCAATGTGACTTCCTAGTTTCAATGTCACCCCGTCTTACGGTACTATTTATTTAATCAGTCAGAAGACCAAGGGAGCAAAATGCATGACGATGCTGCAACACTGCATGACTGTCCCGTTATTGAGAACCATGCTTGTTCACAGCATCGTCACGCGCTTTGCATCCTTAGTACTCTGACTGTTAATTATGTTTCGAACAGAGATACCGTGTCCAAAACAAGTAACAAAATTGAGTTTTACAATCAGGTTGTAATGTGTATTAGTCCCACTAAGCATAATTTCCCAAGCAATACACTTCCGTCTCTAAAGGTTGAGGCAACTTGATTGTAACCGGAATAAATCACATAGGAGTTGCCGTTTGCGACAAGTGTGCTGCTAGGGTTACGTTTATTCAGGTAAATACATAAATGAGGGTAAGAGCTTCGCTACTACATACGAGGAGGAGGGAATAAATGATCAAACTTATACCTAAGATGATGGATATTTCGTAGTCTGAATCGTGGTTATTGTGTGTGACTTAGCTTCTTTGGCTCATCCTACATAGGGTCGCGGATGGTTTGATGGGTGTAGTCCTTCAAGGAATGAAGACTCCAAAGGTTCCGTGTATGGGGTACCGGCTCGATGAGTTTTAGAGAGTGCCCGCCGACGGAAACTAAACTCATCGGTTAGGGTTCCAATAAACGGTGGCAATCCCCCTGGACCTAACTGGGCCTTAACCTCAAAAACTTACTAACTAATAACTTCTGAACCAGTTAATCAGGATACTGGTTACACACTACACCAGTTTAGCAGGTACCTCGCATTGTGTTGATGCTGCTGCTTCGAACCTTCGTGTTCTCACGACCACAGTACTTGAAAGCATAGTGAACTTACTGTTTACTTTCGCCGTTTTCCGTCCACCGTTTCTTTACCACTACTTGAGCTTCATGGTGTTTCTGCCCGAGCAGTGTATTTCGACGCTACTGCTGCGGATTATTACTCTGGCTGCGGGAAGGATGCTGCCCGTGAGGGCAATGCTACTTAACAACTACCACTGCTTAATGGCGAATACTCCCATGTATGATTACTTTGACTCTGTCACTCCAGATTTGTAGTCCGTTCACCGAGAGAAATGCGTGACGACGAAAGAAATGGTCCTGTATAAGCATGGCGATTAGCTTCCAGCTATGACTAAATTAAATCGGTTTGGTTACCTCATATAAGGGCCTTTTTCTGACTGGAATGCATCTAGGTGTCTGTCAGATTCACCCATCCCGATGGGAGCTACAAGACAAATTATAATTAGAACATTTTCTCCCAGCAAAATTATTCATATTTCAAGCACAAAATGTATAAAAAAATTACTAAATTTGTTAATAACTCAGCCTGTGTAATCGATACCTTTTGGACGTCTTAACAAAGGTTTGTATTGTAATAAAATACAAATATTTGTACAACATTATAGTCTTCTAAAACCTATAGTTTTTTAAATATTTTATAAAAACTGAAAAAAAATTAAATTTTGTTGAACAGTCATATTAAACGCTACGTATCTCAAAAACTAAGGAATATAGAGGATTTGTGTGTTGAGCAAAGATTGTTGTAGTAAAATTATCTACAACTTTGCTGAAGACACCACATACCTATCTTGTAAATGTAAAAAGATAGATTTTGCAGCACCGCCTGTGGTGGAGTTCCGAACTAAAACTTATCACTACTCTTTGCGCCTTATTTTATACGAAAACTCTTTTAAAGAGACCATAGTAAAAAAACCGACATTGAAGGCGCAAATAAAAAAGTTCGTGATATTGAAGGAAAGTGAGCACGGAGGTGCTCCATAGAATGAGGGTTCCAGAATACCTCTGCAGGATTCTAAGTAGTAACTTCTAGAACCGGGCTCTGCTCTACGAGACAGACACGGGTCAGAAATCCCTAAGGAATACGGCGGGAGTTCCACAAGGCTCCATTCTAGGTCCTACGCTGTGGAACCGGATGTACAATGGCGTGCTGACGCTCAAGCTGCCCAAAGGAGTCGAGATCGTTGGCTTTGCGGACGATGTTGTCTTGACGGTAACAAGTGAGACCCTGGAAGCAGTGGAAATGTTGGCGACCGAGGCGATCGATACAATTGGTAACTGGATGCAAGGAAAGAAGCTGCGGAAGTGATGTTGGTCAGTAACTGCAAAGCAGTGCAGCGGGCAGAAATCACCGTCAGGAAGCAGGCCATTGCTACGAGGCGCGTGCTCAAGTATCTGGGAGTGATGATCGACGACCGGCTGAACTTCAACAGCCAAGTCGAATATGCGTGCGAGAAGGAGGCGAAAGCCAGAATCATGCCGAACAATTATGGTCCAAGCAGCAGCAAGAGGCGTCTTCTGGCCAGTGTGTCCTCATCGATACTAAAGTTTGGAGGTTCAGCCTGGATTGAAGCGCTGAAAGCGAAGCAGAACCAAAAGAAATTGAGTAGACTTTTGATCTAATTGCCGTCCTTCTAAGCACAACCCACGCTTTACCTCTCTTTTTTGAACGAGTTTTAGCAATAAATGAAATGTTCCTATCAAAGATGATTTCTAAATGTATTCCCCTTACCATAAGTAGCGTTGAATTTAATAAAGAGCCACACATTGTTGAGATATTGTTAAAAATGTAACACTGCTTCTTAGCATTAGCATTAAGCAAGTTGCTGAAATGTAAATGAGTATTGCCACCTTCGTCCATTATCGTATTGACCGGGATATGGGATTGATCTCGGCCTCTTAGATGGAAGTGGCAGTATCTCCAATAATCGAGAAGTTTCCTGGCCACGTCCTTGCAACTGCTGGGGATGGGAAGGATTTTTAGTTGGACACTTACTTAAGAAAGATGCAGAGAACTCTACGACTACGACTACGAGTGTCACAGGAGTTTGAAGGTTGCTGAGTGGGGTAAGCGTTTTTGGCAGATATTTATGTGTCAAAATAAAGTAAATATGCATGTGTGTGTGAGAGTTTCTGTGTGAGTGTATTACAAAATTAATATGGATAGCTTTCACCAATGTTGTGATGTTGAAAGCTGCTTCTTGTTCTATTTGAATTCCTTTATGGTAAATTCATAGGATTTCATTGGGCTGGGCTTCTGACAAGTTTCAAATTTTATTAAAATCAAACACTGCTTCTTGCTTCCAAATTCGTCCTACGAGCTTCCGTCCAAACGCATTGAAACGCTTACACGTTGAAAAGTTAAAACGTCAGACTCCTCTTACTATTTTTCTCAGCCTTGGATTATGCATTTTTTTCTAAATCTATGAATTTAGAATTTCATCTCTTCTGCGTTTGCGTAAAACATATGCAACTAGCAACCATCATGACCACTTCCCATTAATTCCACAAACCCAACCAGCCAGTCATTACGTACACTTCCGCCGTGGGAAAATAAAAAGCTAAACCATTCAGCAGATGGGCACAAAGTAAGAGCGAAACGTGCTCCCGCCTATGATTTGCAGACCTAGTTTTCTCCCTTTATTTAGCCTGATTCTTTTTTGTTCGTGAATTTCTATTTTGAGCATGCTTTCATATCGCCATAACGTGTACACACCAAATATACATGAATGGAAATTCTGGAGAAAACTTTTACCGCAGAGCTCTGAAGAGTAGGGGCTCGAAAGAAAAAAGTTTACAGTAGGGTGGGTCGACTTGGGGAATTTGGTTATAATCTTGATTTGCGGGAAAATGTATTGGAAACGGATCGATCCTATTCATTTGCTTTCCGAAAATCCAAATATTGCTCAAATTTCACCAAATCTTGTTTTTAGATTGAGAATACTATACAAAACAACTTTTCCGAAGTTGGAAAATCGATTTGATCTTTGTTCAACAAGTTAATAACCTTTCACTTTAGACCAAGTGTTCCACACGTACGTACAAGCTCATAAGTAAACCCGTAAATATGCGTGCAGCAATAGGTCCAAATTAGTATAATCATAACTTTTTCCTCAGAAGTCTAATCGATTTTGCAGTCTTGGAAAAAAAAGGTTCCCCATACATGACTTTTTGGCTAGCAAATGAATAGATTTGTTTCGTTTCCCATACACAATTTAAAATTCTCCCGCAAATTCAGATCATAATCAAATAAGTTTGACACACTCAATACTCATCGGAAGAGCAGTGGGGAACAGGGGTTTGCAGTCCACCATACAAACTTGACCCACCCTAGTGCACATACTGACATTCATGCGAATGTGTATGCTAGTGCTACAAAAGGAAGCAATGAAAGGGGTTGCAGCTTCAGCCCCGACTGACGACGACTGCTGGTGCTGCTTTGGCAAATGAGCATCTACCGCGCGAGATTGCGGCAAAAAAAAAATTGGCACGCTGAATGCATCAGAGAAAGTGCACTTTGGCCTCATTCTTGGGAGCAGGATTTTTTGTTTTGCCTTTCTCACATAGTGTTCGGCAAAGGGTACAGTATGTCTTGGAAAATCGATTTGTTGTGGTAACATTTGTACAATGTGTGACATTTTAAAGCAAATATACAAAAAAGAAAATTGAACATTGACCATTGTTAGTACCAATTTTAAATTGATCATTGCAAATTGACCAATTACAAATTTAACAATTGCAAATTGACCAATTGCAAATTGACCAATTGCAGATTGACCAATTGAAAATTTACCAATTGCAAATTGACCAATTTCAAAATTATTTATTTCAAATTGACCATTTAGAAACTGACTCTAATTGTAAATTTTCAAATTGATTAATTTAAAAATGACAAATTAAAACTTGACCACTTTCAAATAGACTAACTGCTAATTTTAAATTGACCAATTTCAAAAAGACTACCTGCAGATTGCAAATCGTCCAATTGAATATGGAACAATTGAAAATGGAACAATTGAAAATGGAACAATTGAATATGGAACAATTGAAAATGGAACAATTGAAAATTGACCAATTGAAAATAGACCAATTGAAAATTGACCAATTTCAAATAGACTAACTGCTAATTTTAAATTAACAAATGTCAAATTGACCAATTTCAAACTGACCAATTTCAAATGGACCAATTTCAAATTGATCTATTTCGAATTGATCAATTTCAAATTGACCAATTTCAATTAGACTACAGGCAAATTGCAAATCGACCAATTGAAAATTCAAAAATTGAAAATTGACCAATTGCAAATTGACCAATTAAAACTTGACCAATTTCAAAAAGACTACCAGCAAATTGCAAATCGACCACATGAAAATTCAACAATTGAAAATTTACTCATTGAAAATTGACCAATTGAAAATTAACCAATTAAAAATTGACGAATTAAAACTTGACCAATTTCAAATAGACTAACAGAAAATTGCAATCAATCCATTGAAAATTGACAAATACCAATTTAAAATCGACCAATTGAAAATTGACCAATTTCAAATTGACCAATTTCAAATTGACCAATTTCAAATTGACCAATTTCAAATTGACCAATTTCAAATTGACCAATTTAAATTATACCACCTGCAAATTGCAAATCGACCACATGAAAATTCAACAATTGAAAATTTACCCATTGAAAATTGACCTATTGAAAAATACCCAATTGAAAATTTACCAATTGAAAATTTATCAATTGAAAAATTCAAATTGACCAATTGTAAATTGGCAAATTTCAAATTGAACCATTGCACATTAATTAAATTAAAACTGACCAAATTAAATTTGGAAAAATGTTAATTGACCAATTGTGATTTGGCCAGTTGCAAATTGTCTATTTGAACCATTTCAACTGGAAATCGACCAATCATAACAGAAAATTTCAGTTGAAAATATAGGAATGAAAAATCCACAAGTTGATTGTCTCCCCTTTTTGATTGATAATTGGCCAAACGTTAATAGACCAATTGAAAATCGACCATTTTCAAACTGATTAATTTCAAATTGCACCATTGATTTATTATTTTAAAGTTAACCAATTGCAAATTGACCAATTGCAAATTGACCAATTTCAAATTCACCAACTGCAAAGTGTCCAATTGCAAGTAGAACAATTACAAATTGAAAATTGACCATTTGAACCGTATCAACTGGGAATCTAACTATCTAAAATCTAACAGAACAGTTATAGTTGAAAAGTACGAATGTTAAATCAGCAAGATGATTTTCACACTTTGTTTTTCAATTCACCAATTGCAAATTGGCCAGTTGTTAATTAAACTATTGTTAATTGAGCAATTTCATAATTATTTATTTAAAATTGATCGATATACAATTGACTAATTGTAAATTGGCCGTATTCAAATCGACCAATTTCAAATTGAACAATTTCTAATTGGCCAGTTTTAAATTGACTAATTTCAAATTTACCAATTGAAAAATAGACTTGTAATCGGACCAATTGCAAATCAATTAATTTAAAATCGACCAATTGTAAACTGGCCGATTGTAAATTGAGCAATCTCAAACTGACCAATTAAAAATTGACCAATTGCAAATCGACCAATTACAAAAGAACCAATTGTAAATTGACAAATTTTGCATTGACCAATTGCAAATTGACCACTTTTAAGATTACCAATTGCAAATTTACTAATCGCATATTGACGAATTGCAAATTGACGAAAAAAAAATTAACCAATTGCAATGTGACCAATGTTTAATGGAACAATTTTAAAGTAACCAATTGCAAACTGACTAATTGTAAATTGACCGATTGCAAATCGACCATATTTGAATTGACGAAATTAAATGGACTAATTGCAAATTGACTAATTGGGAATTGACCAATTTTCGATTGACCAATTTTGGATTAAACAATTTTGCATTGACCAATTTTGGATTGACCAATTTTAGATTGACCAATTTTAGATTGACCAATTTTGGATTGACCAGTTATGAATCAACCAATTATGAATCGACGAATCGTGAATTGACCAATTTTGTGAATTGACCAATTTTGTGAATTGACCAATTGCAAATTGACCAATTACAAATTTACCAATTAAAAATTGGCCAATTAAAAATTCAGCAATTGAAAATTGAGCAATTGAAAATTGATGAATTGAAAATTACCAATTGAAAATTAACCTATTGAAAATTCACCAATTGCAAAGTGACCCACAGCAAATTTAACAATCAGTCTGTAGTTGTTTGTGTTAAACAATCAGTACCTATTGCAAATTGAGCAATTGCAAATTAACCAAATCCAAATTGACCAATAGCAAATTGATCAATTGCAAAATGCCCAACTGTGGATTGACCCATTGTGAATTAACCAAATGCCAATTGACGAATTACAAATGGACCAATTGAAATTTAACCCATTGCAAATTGATTAATTGAAAATTGATCATTTATTAATTGACTCAAACTGACAAATTACAAATCGACCAATTGCAACTTGACTAATTACAAATGAACCAATTGTGAATTGACCAATTTTGCATTGACCAATTGCAAATTGACCAATCGTTAACGGACCAATTTCAAATTTACCAATTGCATATTAACC